ACAGGGCCACAGCACCAGGATCAGGAACTTACTTGTTCCTCATGTCACCTGTCTATGCTGGCATCCACTAGCTTTAGTAGATGGTCTTCATCTACTAAGGCAGAGGCTGGGACAATGAGCCACCAAGGACAGTGAAGCAACTTGTCCCTGCACAAACATGCCTAAACGAGGGGGTGAGCAGGACTGCAATCCAGCCTGTGATATATTCAGTCTTGGATGGGAGTGCAGGGTCACTTTCACCCCAAGGAAGGGACATCTTGGCCTTAATACCAAGGAACCATCCAGGCATCACCATCAGGTACTATGGACTCCTTTGTCTGCCCAGAAAGGGTGGCTTTTTCTGGTTTTCACAAAGGCGCCTTAGAGCAGGCTATAGCTCTGTTGGAGTGGCTCCCTCAGGTCTGTAATTCCTCTGCCACTTCTGGGTGGCGCTAGGGCTCCTGGCACGCTTACACTAGGGCGGGCACCTAGAAAAGTTGTCCTGGGCCAGCACAGCCCCTGGGAAGTAGGGCACAAGGCCCCTGTACTTGGGGCCTACAATGTAACTGGAGTTCTGCTGTTTCCTTGCAGCTCTGCCCAGGGGCTCCCCAAACCAGAACCCAGTAAGCTCTGTACTTTCATTCTCCTTCTTCAGCAACCCCCAAGATTTTCTTGTCTCCAGGGGAACCCAACTCTCCCTGCCCTTTTACCCTGACCTTTCTAAGGATTTTGTTTCCAACATTTATCTAGTTGGAGGTGCTCCTCAAGTCTCTAAGACCATGAACTTAGGATGCCAAAGTCAGTTAGAATTGTTCCTTTTGGCTTTCTGCCTGGGACACAGGCTTCTCCTGGGCTGAGAGCAGGAGTGAGCTGCAATGGGAGGAAAGAGAGGGGCCATCCCCACTCCCATTATTCCTTATATCTGGGAACCCAGTAGAGCCTGGCTCCACTGCTCCACATCCCCCAAGTAGGGAAAAGACCCGTTATTCCTATTTCCCCAGCCCTGATAGACAAGGCTGAATCCTCCCATTCTGCCAAGCACCCGGCCTTTCCGCTGAAAGGGTCCTTCCAGCTGCAGGTCCGCCTAGCTTCCCATTCACCCCTGGCCCAAAGTGATCCTAGAGCGCTTCTGGGTTCTCCATCCTTGAGCGCCCCCTGCCGGGAGGTGGGCGCTGCTCCCAGAGGCCGGTCAATTTTACACCCGATCATGTGCTTCTGTTTACCTTCTGACGTCAGTAAGTGGCACTAAAATGTTACTCTTTTCTCTCCAATTCTGTGCTATTCCCGAATTCTGGTAACGGGAAGGGTAAATGGTTCTTGAGCTGTTTAGGCTGAAAAGGGGGTTGTGGTTTGAAAAAAACATTTAAACGATTGTAAAAGGGGGTTGTGGTTTGAAAAAAACATTTAAACGATTGTATTAACACAGGGGCGAGCAATTTGTTCGGTATTAGGCTGGGCCGCACGCATGCCAGGTGAGCGCGCTACCGCTTGAGCCACATCCCCAGCCCCAGCATCTCCTAATTTTCTTACAGCTCATATTACTCACTCTATAGAAGAATATAAAAATAAAAATGATAAACACCATTATACTACTAATAAAAGTGGATATTTCTCCATATGGAAACATTGAGGCAAATTTCAATTTTTTATTACAAGCAATAATAAAATATACAATACTCCTTATCATAAACTCTATGTAGCAAATTATTTCTCCCAGAATGTTTTCACTACTTTTTGCAGAATTCTGGTGTTTAGTCATTCAATGGTTACAAGCGATGAATGAATGTAGCAGCATAATACAAATGTGGATTAATATTTTTGCTTACCTTATCATGAAAGGTGAAATAACTAAGAAACTTCACTCATTCCTCATCATGAAAGAACTATTTGCTAGTATAGATAATAGGCTTGAAACACAGAAAAAGTATCTCAAATTTTATGCTATTCACAATGCAACAGCTATAGACATAACACACTAGTAAGCTTAAACTGCATTATTAATATATTCTTCACCACTTTCTTAAAGCTAGACAATCCACAAAACAATAAATGAAGCTATAAAAACAATAACAAATCATTTGCTGGTTTCTACAGTGTAAGTATTCAAGCCACCAATGTAGTATCATGGAGTTGGTAGCACACATTAAATAGCATTTGCCCTATACATTTACAATGACCATACAGAACTCTAAGAACAAACAGATGCAGTTAAAAAGTGATAATTTTTGAATATTTATTTCCTTCTTCTTGTATAACTAAATGTATGAGTTTATCATTTAAATATAAATTTAAAAAAATTTTAGTTGTAGATGGACACAACACATTTACTTTATTTATTTATTTATTTATTGACTTATTTATTTATTTTTATGTGGTGTGGAGGATCAAATCCAGTGCCTCACATGTGCCAGGTGAGCTCTCTACCACTGAGCCACAACCCCAGCCCTTATCATTCAATTTTTAATAGTGCAGTGTTTAATAACTGGTTCATCACATTCCTGAAAATATAACAGCTGGCACTCACAAGCTAGTGGGGACTGCCTCCAGCACATTCCAATCAGGTTCCAGCAACTTACATGGTGGGAGGGGCTGGCAGGAAAAGAGAAGAGTTGCCTTGTTTTCTTTCTCCTATCCCTTCTCAGGATGCACTCTGCAGCTCCTCCTCTTCCAGGACCCCTTTTCTAGAGATTCAGGCTCCTATAAGCTCACCAAAACCCTAGGGTGCTAAGTTCTTCTGGCTTGCCACCCTTGCTGGTCCTGGTACCCCTCCATCCACCCAACCCTTTGTAAATAGCCCTCTCATTTCATCTCCTCAGTCATTCCCTTCACTTTGAGTGTGCCTTTATTTTCTGGTTAGACTTCACTGTTCAAGTATGCTTCTATGCTCACATCCTCTAATAACTTATATTCCTAAATTTAGGCACTGTGTGTCCTTAGGCAAGTTACTCAATTTCTCTGAGCCTCATTTTTGTGAGGATTAAGTATGATACATCAGGATAGCATTTTGAAAGATTAACCAATGCACTTTTTTTTTCTCCTGTTATTTCCTGGTGTCCTATAATTCTTTTCCTAGATGAGCTGTTGTACCCTGTAGCAACCATTTCCTTGGAGACAGGATTTAGAGCAGAAATGAGTGGAAAGTTTTGAGTTTTAAAATGCAAGGCCCTCAAGGGCATGGGACAAAAAAAAAAAAAAATCCTAAGAATCAGAGCAAAGTATCCTGCTGGGAGACTCTCTGGTGCCTAACAAGGTACTCCTACCCTATAGAGCTGTCCGTAGCCCAGTCAGGAGACAGGGACAGTAGAACCCCTAGTGGCATGGGGAATCAAAAGGTGGAGAATGAATGGCTGCAGCTGAATCCAGGCAACTCCGTAAATGACCCCACAGTTACTCAATGTCCCACTGTGGCCCAGGAGAGATGCTTGGACTGGTGGGGTCCCCTGCAGGTCTTCAGTGATGATGCCACTGTGATGTCATTGCTTTTCTTGTCGATGGGCATCTAAGTGAGTGGGAGAAGGGTGGACAATGATGGGGATCCAGAGGCCCCTGCTCTTTGCATTAGTACTTATTCTTAGCAGAAAGGGAGAGGGAATTCTTACCTGAAAGATAAAAATTCTACCACTGGCACAATGGGATCTCTGAAATGAGGTCTCCAGATAAACAAAGACTCACTTTCTGCCCCATTTGTGGTCAGAAACTCAAGCCTGTCACAAGAAGAGCCCTGGAGCCTTTTCAAGAGACCTTCTTTGGACAACTTGCTAACCAACTCACCTTTCCACACCCTCTGTAAAATGCACTGACCTGCCAGGTAGAGCCGGGTGACCAGTGGGTGACTCTCCAGGTCTCCCGTGAGCACTTTTGTCCCCATCCTGACCAAGGACACTTGTGTTTGCTATATGCTCCTATTGACTCTTATATTGGTTCTTTTCATTCATTACTTAAATAACTGTCATGAAAGGTAACGAAATGCAAATATGCAAAAAAATAGCTGTGGTTTCTATGGCAATTAAATTGAGAGCTTTCTTAAGGGCACATTGTTGAAGACAAAAAAAAAAAAAAAAAAGAAAAACCTGCTGTCACATTAGGTGTATGTTGGGCTATTGTAAAAGTTTTGGGAGATGTTTAGAAAGTCATTCAATCAGAACACTTCAAGATCTCTCTAAGTTTTACTCCAACGGAATGAAACTGATGATGTTAAGTGTTATGTCCCACGAGGGAAGCTAGTATAAGAAGGGAAGGAAAACAGGACTCCAGTATTGAAAGAAAGAGGTCTTATTTGTACATCAAAATATAGGCAAATGGAGATATATTTATGTTGTAAGCTAAAAAAGAGTATAATGCACACATGCATGTGTATATGTATACAATATTCTCCCCCCCCCCCCATATATATTCGTCCTTTCTTTCCTTCCTGTGTTGGGAATGGAACCCAGGACCTTGCCCAAGATAGGCAAGTGTTTTACTACTCAGCCACATTCCCGTCTTCAAAATTAAAAAAATAAAAATTAAAAAATCTCCTGATTTTCAGAGCCTCGGATGAAAAGTCTTCTATAAATAACGAGTTTCACAAATGCTCAGCCTGCCTCAGTGGCGACTTGTTTTTCATCCATGAGTGCCAGGACTTTGGGATTCCTTAGATACCCGTAAGGGGCAGCAGTAAGGAGACTTCTTCCGCGTCCCTTCTCTGCCCCTGCTCTGCTAGTGAGTCACCGCCAGCTGTAATCCGACGGCAGCAAAAAATGACCAGGGCCCTGGGCAGGGCAGTCTCTTGGCGCTACGGTCAGCCCAGCAGGCGGCGCTGTCCGGCCGCAGTGGCCGCGCCTGTCCTCGCTCTGATTGGCTGGGGCCGTGGCCCGCGCCCACCGCTACCCTCCGGGTCCGCCAAGTGCAGCGGTTCGCCAGCTCCCGCCCCAGTCTGCGGGCCTCCGAAGCGGCGGCTGGGCCGGAGCGGCGCGGCGGAGGGGACAAGATCAGGGCAGGACGGAATTGGATAGCCGGGAGAGCCCCGCACACCCAGCAAGATGCTGTCCTGGCGGCTGCAGACGGGGTCCGAGAAGGCTGAGCTGCAGGAGCTCAACGCCCGGCTCTACGAATACGTATGTCGAGTGCGGGAGTTGGAGCGCGAAAACCTGCTCCTGGAGGAGGAACTGCGCAACCGGCGCGGACAGGAGGACCTGTGGGCCGAGGGGCAGGCCCGCTTCGCCGAGGAGGCGCGCAGCTTGCGGCAGCAGTTGGACGAGCTCAGTTGGGCCACGGCACTGGCAGAGGGTGAGCGCGACGCTCTGCGACGCGAATTGCGGGAGCTGCAGCTGCTGGCCACCGAAGCGAACGCCGCCCGCGGCCGCCTGGACGCCGAGCTGGGCGCTCAGAAGCGCGAGCTGCAGGAGGCGCTTGGCGCGCGAGCCGCCCTCGAAGCTCTGTTGGGCCGACTTCAGGCTGAGCGCCGCGGCCTCGACGCGGCCCACGAGCGCGACGTGCGGGAGCTTCGCTCTCGCGCCTCCAGCCTGACCATGCACTACCGAGCCCGCGCCGCCGGCCCCGCCGCGCCCCCGCCGCGTCTGCAGGAGGTGCACGACAGCTACGCGCTGCTGGTGGCCGAGTCGTGGCGGGAGACAGTGCAGCTGTATGAGGACGAGGTGCGCGAGCTGGAAGAAGCGCTGCGGCGCGGCCAAGAGAGCCGGCGCGAAGCCGAAAAGGAGGCGCAACTCTGCGCCAAGGAAGCCGAGGCGCTGCAGCACGAGGCGCTCGAGCTAGAGCAACTGCGCGCGCGGCTGGAGGATGAGCTGCTGCGGATGCGCGAGGAGTATGGGCTGCAAGCTGAGGAGCGTCAGGTCCGTGCCCGGAATGTCCCTCTCTTCCTGTGGCCCCAGCTGGTCACCATGCTTACGGTGTGGGTGGGAGAGCGGGGTTCCAGGAACCGCAGCCAGTTCACTCAGGGTCGGAGCGCGGCATCAAGAGAGGATAGGGCCGGCTCAAAGGGTACCCAACACTTTGCGGCAGGAGCCTTCAGGGTCCAGCACCTTGCCAGCCTTGAAAGAAGAGTGTGGTCCATTGGTCCTTCAACTCTGCAGTGGTCTAGCTCGGAGTAACAGGTCCCGTGGCTAGCTCAGTCCCCATCATCTTGTTAGGTTGGCAACCTGAGGGTATTTTTGTTGTTGTTTTTGCGGTAGTGGGGATTGAACTGAGGGTCTGGCACATGGTAGTCAAGCGCTCTACCTCTGAGCTACAACCCCAGCCCTATTTTTTAATTTTGAGTCAGGGCCTTGCTAAATTGCTCAGGGCTGACCATGAACTTGCAATCTTGCCTCAGCCTCCCAAGTAGTAGGGATCACAGGCATTCACCATGGGGCACAACTTTAAATTTTGACATGACTGGGCACATCCCAACAAACGACCTTCTTGGCTTTAGGTTTTCCCAATCGCCTGTGCTTTTTATACCTAGTAAACTTGGACCCAAAAGTCAACCAAGAAATTTCTCTTGACTTCCAGAATTGACAGCACATTCCTATTTGGATATGTCAGTGTGTTGGGACGTTTCAAGGCAATGGCAAGTCCTTACGTGGAGGCCTCCCAATCTTAAGTTGGTTTCCAAAACGGTTTTTATTTTGCCAGAATGATTTCTCAGATAGTTGTGGCTGCCTTATTTGTTCTTGAGAGGAGCAGCAACTATTTTGCAGGAAAGGTCCAGAGTCATTTTGCTCACAGTATGAGCTGATGTCAGATCTCTGGGTAATATAAAAGTTGTGGGAAAGCAGGTCCCTGTGGTGGATGTTATTACAAGTGCAGACTTCTATAAACAGTTACTATTTCAGAGAAGCAACGCCCTCACCCTCTGAACCCAGCAGGGTCACCTGTGGTTGATTTATTGTCTGTACACCCAGTCCAGTCTTAGTGTTTGGCTCTGGCCCTACCTAGCCTCAGCCAGGGTTAGAAATGTTCCTAAATCTGTAGTTCTAAGAACAATAGTTTGAAATAACATCAGCACAATTTCAGAAAGATTTTAAGGGAACAGTTTGCAGCTTAACAATTTATGATATGGTGATTTTGTGCTTTTTTTAAAAAAATTAGAAGTAAAGGGCACTTGTGGGTATTGATATGGAATGACTGATGTGGCAGGTATCTACAGATAGTCATCAAATATCTTATTATCTTTGGTTCCCTGCACTGTGCTAGAGTTTCAGTATCCAAAGAGCTAAAGACTAGATGGGCAGTCATAAAAAGTAATATGGGACTAAATTGTATAAAATTTTGTCTTTTGGGTTGTGGGCTTTGTTTGTCTTCATTTCATAGATCAATTTTGGCTCATTTCAGACCTTTAAGCTCTGGTTTCAGTGTTCTTTTAAGCAACAGAACCCTTCACCTCTAATGAAATCTTCAGAGGAACATCAAATCTCAGGTGAAAACAGAGTTCACCTGGCTGGAAGAGAGATGGGGACTTGGAAGTGTAGTTGGAATCACTGTCCATTTCTTTCTCCATATAAGGACTCTGACCACCTAGGGAAGTTCTTCCCTGAGGTCACACCTGACTCAGAATAGGACCCCATCCTTAACTCTCTATCCAGTGATATCTCTGTCTTGTTGGAATTTGCTTCTTTCCCCTAAAAGTAACAAGGAAAGAACAGTTTGATAAGGACCTGGTTTCTTGGTATTTTTTTTTTTTTAGTCCCAGTTTATGGAATGTTACTAGTTATTACTTTATCCTCATCCTGAATCTTTCTCCAGTCAGCAACGATATTTCAAATTGTACTCCAAAAGATTAAACACCATAAAAATGCTCAGAATTATGTTAAAGGTATTTATGATTTAATCCCAAGCCTCTACTTTATTCAGATTCCATACAAGCTCAGTCTATGGAGGCTAAAAGCTGCTTTAACTGATTTCCTGTTCTCAGTGTTTTATTACTAACAGTTAACTTCTATCAAAGTGCTTCTTGTAGCACAGGTATCAAACACTTCATGCATATTCACTCTTGATCTTTACTCCAAATCCTAGCCCTATTTCATAGATGATGAAACGGGCATATAGATCACCTAGTCTGTAGGTAGCTAAAACAGGGTACTCCTGAGGTTTGATGCCTGAACAACCAATCACTGGGTCACATTTCCTCTCTTTTCATCTAAGAGAAACCTCTTAAAGGGGTCAAATACCCATCTGTGATTGTAAGATATGAGTATAGAGTTTAGGGTGCTGTCTGGGATAGAGCTATAAATACTTAAGTAGCATCCAATTTATGCTTATTATTATTACTACACTTAGTTTTTGTATTTTGAGTGAGGTAATCACAGTATTTAAGTCCTTTTAAGCTCTAATGTTCAGAATTGTGAGTGACTCGGACATTTGCAAGCTCTTCCTATCCTGTCTGTATGATGTGCTCAACAAGGGGCAGCTTAGAAGATTTGGTAGAGTGAGTTAATTCTCTTGACATGAACAGCAGAGCACTTTCCCTGGTGTGGAACTTGATTTTACCATCAGTTGTGATGGTCTCCTAAAGCTCTCTCCATTGCAGCTGGAAAAACTGACATCTCTCCCAGGTTTTTTGCAACATTAGGTGAAATGGCTTTGCTTGGGCTGGAATTAGCATCCTGTGCCTGGTTTCTAGCCCTCCAGGCTGGTCCTTAGCTTGAGAACTTCTAGCAAAGCAGAGTCCATGTCTGAAGCTTTGTTCTATCACCAAGATTAGTTGTGATTTTGGGAGAGACTATTGGGAGTCAATAATTCTTACTTGTTCATCTTCCTGCTTCCAAAAATCCAAGAATTTTTCTTTGACAATTTAGGAAGAGTTGACTCACATGGAAATGTGGTTGGAATGATACTAATTTCAGCTTAAGCTCTGTTTCATTTTCCTCATTTGGTGGGGCGTAGCAGTATTCTGTGTGTTTGGGGCAGGGAGAGAGAATCTTTGTGCACACCCCTTTGGTGTAGCTGAGCCTTCTTTATCTGCTCAGGAGGTTTGTGGGTAGAGAACTGAGTTCATCTGATTTTTTTTTCTAAGTAATCTAGCAACACTTGAACTTTGTTGTAAGGAATAAATTACTACAAATTCTCAAGTTTACTATATTAGAAAAGATAGATGTTGTGAGCACACATACACTCATTCACATGTATTTATAGCACATTTTATATTATAACCTTGTACCTGAATTTATATTCCCTGTAGAACAGGGTAACATAGATGTTAATACTGGGACTTACTATAGAATGTGTGAATGTCATGGCTAAATTTGGCAACTCTGTCACTAATCAAGGCTGTCATGTGGTTTGCTTTGGTAAACTGCTTTATTTGCGTATAATGCTAGCTTTGGGGTCTGCTAAGCATATTCATCCTGAGTCATTAGTCAGTGGTTCTTAAATTTACTCCTTTGCTTTAAAAGTTAAGTGTGTTTTGCTTTTAGTTTCTAGCACCTGTTATATATCAAGAGAATCTAACACAGTCATCAGCTTAGAAATGAAACTGTTGTAGAAAGCAAAACTGTTTACATGCTGATCTTGCATTTTAGAATGATAAATCCAGTGTGAGATCTTGGTTCAGATCATTCTTTGGTTTCATAGACACTACACATTTTTCTGGACTCTCAGTAACTTGCCAGATGCTTAGGATGGTGGCTAGATTCTAGCAGCAATGAAAATACATTTATTTCCCCAATAGTCTTATAGTTTTCAAATTCTATAAAGATAAGTGCTTATAAGTGTGGTTTAGTTTAGTTAACTGTGTTCGAAAATACTGCTACTTTCCATTCCATACCAGAAGTTATAAGTATATGGACTAATTTCAGGGTTTAAATGTTTGCTTGGTTAATTATTCCCTAGAGTGACTAATTAACAACTATGATGAAAACACAAAGTGTAGAATGTACAAATGAGGCCATTGTGTGCACTAACAAAAAGATATTGTGGACCCAAAATGGTACATTTTGAAGAGGGTAATATCATTTTGATCATTTTATCTTAAGTGAAATTCACCATGTTCCCACTTGTAACAAGTGTTACAAGTGTGCTATGTGACTGGCATTTGAGGGGCATGTGTCTGGAAGCTGAATGCAAAGGGTAGTGATGTCTCTTGTCTAAGGAGGGACAGGCCAGGTGAAGGTAATTAGCCAGGCATGAAGGCACCATGAGAGTGCTTATTAACTAGCTGCGCAAGGACAATCCAGAACAATCATTTTTTCCAGAATATATTTCTTTCCTGATAATTTTAAAGTAGTTTCTCTAGGTGAAAAAAAAAAAGAACTCTGCATCAGTTTACCTGATAATTATTGGAGAAAACATAAGTTTTAGGGAAATTTCAGTTCATATCTGAGTGTCTCCAGTTTTAAGTATTATAACCCCCCTGATTTCTGGTTGTGGCTTTCAATTGCATATCAATTGACCTGTTGGATACATTGGCTTTCCTAAGTAGACTGCTGCCTGAAATTATAGAGATGATTTAAATAAACACCTTAGCATTCATTATTATCAGAAGCATCTGAGCAGAGAAGCCAGTGATCTATCAAAATCCTTCATATGCATTAAAAAAATCTTCCAGGGGCTGGGGTTGTGGCTCAGCGGTACAGTGCTTGCCTAGCACATGCGAGACCCTGGGTTTGATCCTCAGCACCACATAAAAATAAATAAATAAAATAAAGACTAAAAAAAATTTTAAAAATCTCCCATATAGAAGAGAGACAATATTTGAAACCATCCTTGCAATTGATCACCTGTTTAATAAGACTGGAGGTTTTTCACCTCCTTTTATACCCTGAACTGTTGCCACCTTCAGTTCAACCTTGTTCTTGGATCTAAAAGCCCTTCTGTTCTCTTCACAGAGGGTGATCGATTGCCTGGAGGATGAGAAGGCGGCCCTCACCTTGGCCATGACTGACCGACTGCGGGACTATCAGGAACTTTTGCAGGTGAAGACTGGCCTCAGTCTGGAAGTGGCCACCTACAGGTAAGGATGCTGTGCAGGTTTGTCTTGAAGCCAGTGGTATAAACTCACTGAAGCATCTCTGTGGCTTTGTGATAAGCAGAGAGCATCCTTTTCCATGGCCAGGTGAAGAGTCAAGTCCTCTATGGCTGAAAGGATGAAGAGGAAGAGCAAGGTCTTGCTCAGATCACTGGCCAGGGGTCCCTCAGGGTTGGCAATAGCTGAGTCTCACACCTTTGCCTAGTGTTTCTGCATCTTCTAAGAGCTTTGTACATGTCAACTCACTAGATCCCAGGAGTTGGATACCTTGTTTATAGAGGAACAAACTTAACTCAGAGAAGTTGGCGAGCTAGAATATAGAGTGCCAGGATTTGGACCCAGGACATCTGAATCCATCTGCCTCTTGTGCTGTTCCTTCAAATTCCAGGGCATTGATGCACACACCCTCACCTCCAGCATCAGTTTGGCCTTGAAAAACTGCATCTGCACTATGAGATTAGCATGGAACTCTTGGGCAGCTGGTTTCATCAAGGTGTTGACTTGAATTCAGTATAACCAATCCAGGTGGAAAGGTCACAGAGCACTCAAAGAGGCAGGGTAGGCAATGCCTGCAGAGAAGTCAATGGGTCCTCTGCAGAACCTACTTTGTGTGACCTCTCCCCAGGTGGTCATCAACCTTTGGTTGAGATGGTGCCCCTTACTTTCTAGCAGCTTCATGCTCAGAAGGGCCCCAAAGATCAGCAACGTATTATGGAAGGACAGAGACCCGGGTTCCCACTGGTAACAATAGTAACAATGCCAACATGATGCAGTCGGTACTGCCTGTCAGACATGGTGCTCAGTACTTAGCAGCTCTGCTCCTTGTCACTCTCTGAGGTGAATGCCAGGCAAACCTTTTATAGGTGAGTGAGAAAGGCCTGGAGTTCAGGGCTACAGGCCAGTGGGGAGGGCTGGAGCCAGCTGAGTCTGATCCCAGGTCTGTGCCTTTCTCACCAAATCATGGAAAGTGGGCACAGTGACCACTTCATTTGCAAGATTGTAGGTGTGAAGAGTTTGGAAAACCACCCTGGCAGACGAAAGGAAAGCATGGTCATCAGTGCTGTATTGCGATGATATCATGCTTAACACTTTTGAGAAAGTTGACCTTCCTCCCACCCAGGCCTTATTTAAGGTAGTGGATGGACACAGCCTCACAGGGAAGAGGGGCTGATGGTGGTGTTGCTGGGGTAGAATTGCTCCCACTTGTGACTTCCCAGCAGTGGCCATTGCCCCTGCCCCTGCCTAGTTGGCAGTCATCCCCCTGTGGGCTATCTCATTGCAAATCTCATGTGAAAGGGAAGGGACTGGGACTCTTTAAAGCCTAAGGCACATTTTTCTGTGTTTCTGACCAAGGCCAGCTCTCAAAGATCTTCAACCCTTCCTGGCCCAACCCTTCCTGGAACCTTCACAGTGGAGGAGAAACATTAAAGTGATCATAAATAACAAAATTGCATGTCTATCGTTTCCAAATATAGATTTGTAATTTATAAATGAATGTATAATTTGATAAAGTAAACATAAGTAATAAAATGAAGACAGTGAATGTCATAGTTCAACACTGGAGATTTTCATCAAACCCTGTTGGCCTGTTTGTAGCCAGAAAGATCAGGCATCCAGCTTGGCAGGTGGATAGGAGAATGAGACCTTTCAGTGCCAGAAGACAGGAAGGTCACTGCCTTTGTCTCCTGCCTGATAAGTGGTGATCAGGAGTAAACATGAGGCTGGGCTTGGGACCTTGGATACCAAGAGAAGAGGAGACATGGTCCTGCCGAACCCCCTTTCAGGCAGGGTCTGTGGTTGCTCCCTTTTCCCTGTCACCAGCATTGCTGTGTGGGGCTGGAGGTGCTCATCTATCTGATATGCAATCACAAGTTTTTTCCTGCAGTATGAACGTTGATTGCACCAGCATCTAAGTGGTTACAGGAGAGATGCTCAGATGCAAGATGGATTCTCAGCCTGAGCTGCACCAGGGAACCCCTGAAGACCCTGAGAGGGCATTGACCCAGCCCAGAGATTCTGATTAGATTGGTGTGGGGTAGGACCAGGTGTGGTGGTTTTAAAACCCCTCTAGGTGATTGTTGGGCGCTGCCAGCATAGAGAACCACTGGTCCAGAGCTTCCATGCTTAGAGGATAGTCTGCACCCAGCCACAACTGCAGCATGATTGTAAGCTTGTTGGAAATGCAGAATCTCAGGCCCACCTCCAGCCTACTGGATCCTGAAGGGCCTTATAAAAAGATGCCAGGTGATTTGTGTACACTCTGCAACCCCGGAGTGGGGGCATTGGTAAATGCTAAGCCTGTCCCACAGCAGTCTGGAGTAGGAGACCAAAGATGGATTGCTGTTAGAGAGGGGAAACTATGGGGTGTTGTACAGGCTCACACTGGGCATCAGTATGTCTGCAGCATGTGTGGCCAACCACTCAGGGTCACATTGGATCTGTCTAGGGTCACAGAATCCTGTAGAGCTTCCTGAGAGAGGCCTGAATTAGATGAAATTTGAAGCTCTGAACATCCTAGATAAGCAACACTCATTCCTTGAATCCTTATTTTGCAGATTCATGTCAAAATGAATATTCTAATTCTTTCCAATGTATTGTTGTAAAAATTCTCAAACATAAGAAAAGCTGAATAAGCACTCCTGTACCTGCCATCTGGATTGTCCAATGAACTAAATTTGCTTTATCTCATGACTGTCTACCTGTCTATCCCTGTATCATCATCCATCCTGTTTCTGATGCATCCTAAAGTAGGCTGCCTGCATCTCTGATTGTTACTGCGTGACAGGTAATGATAGCTGCCTTTTGTTGAGTACTTGCCATGTCTTAAGTGCTTTGTAGATAGTATCTCCAATTTTTATAACTTTTCTGCCAAGGCTTATTTTGCATGTGATGAAACCCAAGCTCCAAGAGGCTGTTACTTAAAAGATCACACAGCTAGTAAGTAGAGAGCCCGAGATTCTAACCTCAGATCTTAAGCCAGGGCTTTGCCTCTTCATGCCCTGCTGACTGTCCTGTTACACAGAAAGGTGTTGGATGTAGTGGGATGTTGTAGGTAGAAGATGGTGAAGACTTTGCCCCTGTCCTCAACTGTAGGATGATGCAGTTCTAGTGCAGTGGGAGCCCATGCGGCTTGCAAGGAAGGCTTCCTGGAGGAGACAATGCTGGGTTCCTGTGGGAAGGGAAGCCCATATGGAAGGGCTTTCCAGACAGAAGGAATACTATGTTAGTTTTGCATTGCTGTGGCCAAAAGATATGACAAGAGCAATCCACCTAAATATCATGGTAGAAGGGTATGGCAGAGGGAAGCTACTCTACTCATGGCGCGTGGTGACTAGGATACAAAGAAAGTGATGAGATAGGGGTCACAGGGAAAATGGACCCTTTCAGGGCATGCCCCTACTGACCCACCTCCTTTAGCTCTCCCACCTGCCTACAGTTCCCACATCAGTCCATTCAAATTAGGATGGACTGATTAGGTTACAGCTCTCCCAATCCAATCATTTTACCTCTGGACAATTCTTCATTGATACAGCTTTTGGGGGATACCTCATACCAATCATAACAAGCATCTCCTGGGTGGGGACCTAAGGACTGAGCTAGCATGGCCTATGTGGCAATGCCAGGCATTTTGGGATCCCTGGCCAGCTTGGTTGTGGGGACCTGTCATGGAGGATTGTGAGTAATGGATAGACAGGAGCCTGTGAGGCTGTCTTATGAGGTGGGATGTGGGGCCCTCAGGCTGCTTCAGAGATACAGGACATGTAGGATTCAGTGCTGGACTCGGGATTGAAAAGGTATGACCTTTGTGGCCTTGGTGTTAAGAATCCTAAGCTGTAGATAAGGGGGCATGGACCTATGTAGCCTTGTGTATGGTAAGAAACAAGTATAGGTTTCTGGAGATCACAGGGGTTGTGAGACTTGGAGAAGTCTTCTGGGAGAAGAAGAGATTAGCCAGGGTCTTGAAGGATGTGGGGGAATTTGCACAGATATGGGGTGGAGGAGGTGACAAGTAGGGGAAATGTGGTAGGAGGGATACTGTTTAGGTAAAATGTCAGACAGGATATGAAAACGACAGAACGCACATTCTCAAGGAAGTACTGGAGATGGTTCACTGCCAACTGAAAGAGGTTAATAAATATGGTTCAGTGACAAAGAAATTTTCAAAGAACATGGAATTTGGGTTTTTCCTTGAAGTCAGTGGGGGAAGCAGGGACTTAGTAATTGGACCAGAAGAAAGGGATCAGGAGGGAGCTCCAGGTAGGTAAGAATGAATCAGAAAATGAGTAGAGGAAGGAAACCCAAGGTAAGTGAGCAGAGATCCGGGAAGGTGGTTGTGCAGGGGCCTCAGATATCAGGCTGCTGAGTTGGGGCTTTCTGCAGCAGGCAGGAGCAGTCCCCGGACCAGCAGCATGGAGTGGGGAGACAGCCACGGGCAGGTGGGGAGCTGGGGGCCTAGGTGTGGAGATGGAGGGGTCTGTGGGCAGGAGGCAGGGAAGACTCAGGAGTCTCCTCCATTGGAGTTCTGGTAGTGAGGGCCTGATGTAAGTGACCATGGCAGCCACAGCAGTACCTGGCTGGCGCGGGAGTCAGCAAGGAGCCCGAGGGACTGTGGGTTTTCTGGGCAGGAACATGTGAGAAGTGTGCCACCCAAGGGTGCTATTTCAAACTAGACCACCCACCACAGAGCCCTCTCCATAAACAGGTGCTTACAAAGAATTGGTGGTTGATAATCTGAAGATGACAAAAATGAGAGCAATACCCAGAACCCACAGTGTCCCAACCCATCTCTCTGTGGCATGAAGATCTAGTCCAGCTGCTCTGGGCTGAGAACGGGTGGAAGCACAGTTAGAAAATAGGTAGCTCCCCTGCACGGTGACGGCGACGGCAAACTTATCGTCAGCAAGAACCCATTAGAAAATACAGTGGGAAAATAAAAGGTAATCAAAAGTGAAAGAACAAAGGCAAGAAAAAACTCAGGAAAAAAC